AAACAAAAGAAATTGCATCGAGGTTGAGGGATAAATAATTTATTTCCTTTGTTTTGTTCCCCCAAGCCTCATGGCCAAGTTAGAATTTTAGTATATAAAATGGCTTTTTAAACAACACCATTTGTAACACTGGCTTTTTAAGTGCACAAGCACTTGATGGATGACATATTAAGTTTATAGCTCCTGCATAACGTAAAACTTACATAAGGTTTAACAGCCAAATAGTTCAGGGCCTAAGCAAACCACGATGGCAATGGTAATGAGAATGCCACCAAACAAAATTAGGTTTTATGAGTAGAACAACTACAGCGCACATGGGTTATAAATTTTTGTAATTTTCTTTGCCGTCCTCTGTACAACAACAACGTGAAATGGCTAAGTTCTGTGTTTTTTGGAGAATGCTAACGACAGCGGCTAATTTTTTGTATTTTCATTTGGAATTGAATGCTGGCATTACATATTTAGCTTGAACAAATTCTGAGACCACTAGGTACACTAACAGTGAACAGATCTGGAAAATTAAAAGGTAAACTATAAAGGCATTTTCCTAGGGGTCATCATCATCATCATCATTGCTTCAGCTCTCGTGTGACTACCAAAACTTTAAACTGTTTAACGGTATGACAGTCAGAAATATGTATCACCTGAGTGGCTCCCCAGTAACATAATGTTCAACAAATTTAGTGTACCATATTTAAAAGATTCTCAACGTGCGTAGAATGTACAATAAAATAGTAAAAACACGCATAACATGATGTACATAGTAGAAAATTAGCAACTGAAACCTTTTTCAAAAAAGAGGAATGTCTCCAATTTTACAAAGTGGATAATGTGTGTGACAATTTCATTATTTTCTTTAAGTAAAGAGTTCCAGAGACCAGGGGCATAAACTAAACAGCAGACTATAGGAATTTAAAAGTCTTTAACAAAGAGATACAAGTCAGGTGAATTTCAGATCACAAACATGTCAACAATATGTTTGCAATAAATATTGAGGTCAAATAGTTTGTTAACCATTGTTTATTTACAGTTACGATACCTTGGTCTGTCCACTTGTGTTTTGGTGAGGGTAACTGGACGTAGAGTGAACTGATGAAGAATTAATTGACGTAGAACGCAAGCGTTCGGCCTATTGGGAAAAAAAAACAAAACGACATCTCTTCAATAAATTGTAATTTCATGCACAAATTAATTTTAACCACATGTATAATGTACAGTATTATACATACACTACAAAACTCCAAAAACTTCTTAGCTTCTTCTTCAGAAACAAAGTTGAGTCCCCATGCATGGCTCTCTGTAGCAAGGAAAAAAGCAATGATATACATGTATTATGTAGTGTGTGTTGATGGTGATCTGTATTGAAGCTCATCTGTCTATCCTGTCTAATCTGTCTTTCCATTAGCCTGATGCCAATGACTTAATGAATATAACTCAGTTTTCTTATTCAACATTCGAGTTCTCCAAAAACCCTTGCTTGAGTGAAGGCTCCTGATCTTGCAATTGTTTGAATGTGAGCTTGTTAAGTTTACTTAATATTCTTTTAAGTAATAACAATCATTGTGAAAAAGAATAAAATTTATATATTTGGAAATATAACAATTACAAACTATTATTAATGTATATTAAAAATCTTATTAAAAGATGCAAACCATGTTACTATGCAATGACTATAACAGACTGAACTACTTTGATCTGTGTTTAGTTTATTTATACAAATTATGAAAAGACCCAAGGAGCTTAATATAGACATATACCATTTTTTTCTTTTTTTTTTTTCTCTCCTCTTTTTTCTGTTGCCCTGACTTACTTGATTTACGATTCCTCCACTGTACAAAGCACTCAGATGTCTTCTTAAGCCGAATTTCTGAATCAAATGAGTAACAATTAATATATTTAATACTGCTAGTTTCCTTTAGTTAAAACTTGGAAAAAAATCAGTCTAAATTTGTGCCAGAACTTAAAAATTGGTTGTATACATGTATGTACATGCACCTATCTACATAAAAATCATTTTCACCATTTAAGTTAATTTCTGCTCTGAAGACCGTCTCATTGTTCATTGATGCTGTAACGAGGAAAACATCTTCTGAATCCACCTGTAAGACGAAAATAAGTTCCCAGGGTTACAGTTACTTAACAAGCCATTGTAAGAGTCACCAAACTCTCCTTTAAATACCAGTACAATGTCAGAGCACATCAATGGGATCAACTGACCAGCATATAATGAGAATGAGCTCAATTTGTATTTCTCTATGTTAAAGATCTAGATGACAAATCTGGAACACTAGGGAAATACAAATCAAACTAATTCAATATCATTTTGACCAGAAATTTCTTAATGATTTTAAACAAAAAATAGCATAGACTAGAACTCGAGGCAGCAACTGTCAAAGTTTGATGTACTAAAAGATGATGTGAGACTGAGATAGCACTTTCATCAGTATCTCTGCTTTACTTGTACTGACTAAATTAGAACATTTTTCACTTGAGTGTTGAAAGATATTCACATTTGCTTTGGTTTTGCATTTCTACACTGCATGATTGGCTTACATGTAAAAAACTGGTGCCACATCCAATCAGTCTTATCAGAATTAAACCAACTGTGACTTGCACACTTCGTGTCAAAAAAGTGAAGCTTTGGAGCCCAATGGCTCATAGCTGCTGAAGCTTATCCTGGTTTCTGTAGCGTGAGGCAGCTAGGAGTATTTCTACTCCCCCTGGACGGGATGCTAATCCATCACAGGTCACTCCCCCGCAATTTGTTAGGTTTCCCCAACAATTCGCCAGTACCCTTTTTATACT